TTAAAGGAGTACTTCTTTTTGTAAAAAATATTCAAAACCCGCCAATACGAGTACAGTTGGTATGAGTAAAATTATGATTAAATCTCGGTTTTAAAAACGTTGATGATAAAAAATTGAGGGGGGGGGGTAAATTGGAATGACTGTGATTTAGTGGAAAATATTTATACTGTTTAACACATAACATGTTATGGAAAATAAAATGAGGGTGGAATAGTAAGTTTAAATTAAAGCAATACCGGGAGTATTCTGCTAATTAGTATGAATGGTTAGTGTACACTGGTATTTTTAGCAATGTAAATCATTGTAAATTACTCATGGGTGCCCAAAGTGTGTGAATGTAGTTATACAGTACTGTAACACGTTCACTATAAAGTGCTCCACTAAGGTACATTTAAAATTATGTCCCTGTGTTCTGGCAATATTTTTTCACATTTTTCCAAATGTTATCAAAGTATGACTTATTGCAATTTTTTTAAGCTAATTGCTGAAAACGGTGGTGTTGTTGTGGATTATTAGTGTGTTATTGATTTGTATAGGTATTGATTTAGAAACAATGGTTTGACACATTATTGACAGGGATATTCTCAATATCTTTGAGCAATAATGAGGTTTTGATGCTTGCTGAGTGAGCAGTAAGCAGTGAGCAGTATTTTGAGAGTGGTTGGTAGCTGGTCACTGGCAGTGGTCCACTGTGTTAATATTAATAGATCTCTGGCCAGAGAGCCGCATTGTTCAAGTGGTACCACCACAAAACACCATAGTAATATGAGTGAAAGTATGCAATAGGGCAATAGCTCTTGTGATCACAAACAACGCAAAACGCAATATGAATGAAAGTATGCATTTGGACGTTACTATGATCAAAAATACACCCACCGCAGCAAACCTGCAGACTAAGCGAATTTCAATCCGTTTGATTGGATTTTTACTCAAATATTTCAGTACAAAAATGTTATTCCCCATTTAAATAACATAATTGATTTAACGAGTAAGTTACCTAGATTTGCTGTTACGCGGAAGGTCAAAAGTGGTTTTATGACCAAATGTTAATAGGCCCTAGCATAGGATGAAATAAATAAATTTGTCAAATTATACTGTAAAACCTAACTAACTTGACTATATGTGGGCTCGGAGGTTGTTGAGTTATCCAGAATATTGACATTTTTAATGGATTTTAATAAATAAATTAAGATCCTAACAGACTAATTTTTACACTTAAATTTATTACTCCCATGAGTATTTTCACATATTGAGTAAACAATCTTCAAAGAAATGTCGATTGTTAATAGTTGAATTTAAATTAAAACTAAATTTTCTAAGAAAATTGCTTATTTTTGCGTGTGCCCTGTCAGCTGGCGACAGTTGAGGTACACACACTGTCGAGTTACACAGACTGTCGAGTTACTGAGGTTCTACTGTATCAACATACATGGTCAATAAGCAAGCAAACAGTTTTCTTTCTCTCCATAAGAATAATATAGGAATCTTAAATGTAGGCCTACTGTTTTTTTTCTCCCTAACTTTCAATTTAACAAAAATGCTTTAATATGCAAAATATTTTTTTAAAGCTCTACACGATCGATGGTTGTATTTAAAATTGGGCTTTTCCATTTAAGGGTAAAAATTTGAAAAAAAAACAGTTTATGAACATTTCATAACCCCATATTGCCCCTTTCCCATGACCCGATCTTGCTGGTTCGTAAACTCATTCAAGTTTGCCCTACACCTCCAGGCCAAATTTCATAAAAAATCTTATAAAAATTACTCAAGTTATCGCGTTCACGGACGTATATATACTATATATATATATATATATATATATAAAAATTTGAGTGAATAGTGTTATAGCTTCTGGGAACATCAAAAAGAAAAAGTAAATCTGTCCTGGGCCCAGCTTTTACTCTGCCACAAAAACTTTTTTTCTAAAATGGGACCATTAGTGTTAATCCCAAATAACATGTATTTGCTATAGGAAAATTAGGTTTTTTGTTATTTACACAAAAAACTAAAAGAGATACGAAGTAAGTGTAAATTACAAAGTTGTTCAGAATTTAAAAACTTATAAAATGATGTGCCTTTTGACATAAGTTTCTATTTGAAAATTTTGAACAATAAGCAATTGCAAATATAAAAAAAAATTGTTTGGACATTTTTGTCATTTCCAAAAACCTTTACTTGTAGTATATCAGAGTAAAGCTAATTTCATAACAAGTAAGAAAATTCAACCGGAGAAGGGCTAAGTGCATAGGAAACATAGATTATTAAAAAAATATTTATTTAAAAAAAAAATTGCCGCCATTTTGAAACAGAAAAATTTAAGATTTCGCCAAAATTATTGTCTAATAAATACCTTTAAAATTATACAAAACATGACATACATTTGAATTCTGAGATTCAAACTAGTGACCCTCAGTTTTTGGCACACCCTGTATTGGAAAAAAGTTGAAAATATTTTTACGTTACTCCTTGGGGTCGATTTAGCGGGAAATTATTTCATTTCATCTTTGTACGTTAAACCGTTCTTCCGTAATCAATTTGAGACACCTTCCGTGGGACACCCTGTATGTATGTTTTATAGGTAGCCTAGGCCTATGTGTAGGCCTAAAACATACGTAGGCCTATTTCATGTCAAAAAAAAAAAAATGAAGTTTAAAAAAATACTTTTTTATGAATGGTTTTACATTTTTTTGTATATTTAAAATCCATTGATTTTATTACACAACATGAATTTATTTACTTTGCTTAACGGGAATAGAATAGAGAAGAAAAGAGTGTTTCACTATGTATTAAACACTAGTAGGACTGATAAAAGAAATATGTGTTGAGAAAGCTAGGTGTTGCATGCAGAAAATAGATTTGCTTATTAGTGAATCTAGTTAACCTAGCCTAGTTAAAGTATTAGTTTTGGGAGTTTTCCAAGGAGGATTTTAGGATGCTTTTAGAAGTACGATACACAACACAATAACAGATTAGAAAACTTCAATAGGCTATCCTTAAGCCTAACTTAATTTGTATTTTCATCCATTTTCAATTAATATGGGTTGAAATACTACTTTAATGGGATTGATGCCATTAGCTGTTGTTCCACAAACAAATTCCGTAATCAACTTATAGACTTAAAGTTATATATAAGTTTATTGTATAATACCATTAAACCTTTATATAAAACATATTATACTTATTCGATTTACTAGAAAAAGTTTGTTTTGGCAACCCTACTCTAGGCCAATTTGAAAGACCTCAAATTTAAGTTGGTTAATTATTTATTTATTTTTGTTAAGCGGTTGGAGGTCTCTTTTATAATGTCTAGGCAATGCGTGGTGAATGAAAAATATTGAGCTAAAACCAACCGTATTTTAATTTTTAACCGACCTTGTTTTGGGAACAGTTCGGTTTAACCGCCGTTCCCAAGTTCAGTGATCGGAACAATGGGCTAAGCTCTACAGGATGTTACTTCCACTGAAAGTATTTTACTTTTAACCATGTTTTGGGTTCATTTGTGACTCTTCATCAATAGGTAGGCCATAAGAAAAAAAGAAGACAAGTGTAGTTTACTTTGTATATAATGCATGCACGACTTCAGAATAATGATTATAGAGTATAATTCCAAACGTATAGAACTTCATTTTTTTAGTTTTTAGGGACTACCCGTTTAACCGATTTTTGAACTATCCGACCTAGGTCCAGTCCTGTTATGGTCGGTTAAAAGAGTGGGTCCAAACTTAAGTTACTATACTAAATAATGAATAATTTTTTATGTAAAATAAACTTTGATGTCAGGCAAACTTGTGTGCTTGGTATCCTATAACCAGAGTTTAATCCAGATAAAATCCAATCACGGGTACTTAAAAAATTATGGGAATTCATTAATCAACCCTATATGTCTCAAAGGCTCATATAGGTATCATAAGTTAGTCAAGTTTATAAGCTTGGGCTTTTGGTTTGAGCTGATGGTGCTGTAGGCCGATTAGGTCTTACTAATGGACGTTTAAGGGTTGTCCCTCCGGCCAGAAGAAAGAACCATAAACTATGGGTTTGAATTCTGTCTGGGTCAGGTCAGACATGCAACTCATGAGGAGTTCATCTGTCTGTGGAAGAACTTGGTGAGACAGGCCCATCTCAAATAAACGGTGGACTGCTCAGGGGAAGTTCAGGAGATAGGTGGAATCTAATGACTACCGTAACTAAATAAACATTGCATGGTGATTGTTAAATTACCATAATGGTTCTTTTGTTACCTATGATCTAGGCTATTGTAGGTAAACTACAAATTCAAGGCCTAGTATTAAAAAAAGATTTTGTGAGAACTGATGAAAATATTGCACAGCATTTTTTTGGTATTCTAGGTACCGGGCATTATTATAAGCTACGGTAAATTAAGTTATAGGCCTACCAATTGACAGTAAGGAAAAATTTCATTCTCGCTGATAAAGTGATTACAATTTTCAGTACCGTAGTTATAAGAACATAAAGTTTTACGCCTTAAGATCAATTAAAATATGTAGTTAAAAATATTTATTTGTTGATAGGAAGACTTTTTTTAAACAGTTGCCACCGGCAGACAGAGGTTGCAGAGGTCACCAACATTTTCAAGGGTGGAAAAACTAACACCAACTTAACTTAGTTCTGAGAAAAAAATGTACAACCAAAGAACAAGGAGTAATTTCAGCTCTTATAATCATCATTCGACAGATCCTACATTTAAAGATTCTGAAAGGTGGTTGGTAAAATTGTACCATGGAGATGTCAGACCAAGGGCATGTTCCAATAGCAATAGTCTTTTACGTACATGTCCTTTAGGCTTATTTGAAAAAACTATGGAGCTACATTGTGTAAAGCAAATTATTGAGAAAAAGAATAATACCATATAGGTGTTTTATTCGTAGTGTCCTTCATCCCTACCGGTCTTGTAAACCATAAGGTTATGTTATGTTCGATGAGTTACCAATTCAATTTTACAGATAATATAGGCTATAATTAAATTATAGTTTGAATCTTACCTGCGCATTGTGTTCTACGAGGTAATTGACCGAACATAACTGATAAACTATGTAAGCCCGCAAGACTTCCCAAGTAGTTTTGCTCTTGAACGCGGCCTTTGGGTCGGAAAATCCAGTGTCCAAAGGATCACGTCTCGAGCCAAAAGATGTATTTTTCTCGGCGACATTGTTTATTGCTCCAGCTGCTGATGATCTTAATGCAATCTGATTGCAATTTTGAAGAGGCAAAAACAATCGGATTTTGGACGTTTTCCCACCATGAAGCGTTAAATTATAAATACTGACACCGGTGCCGTACTTCTTTGACACACTACACCTAATAACAGCCCTCAAAAACGCCATCACTGTAACGCTTGTTGCTTAAAATTTTTTAAAGTAGCTTGAAGTCACTAAAATTCTATTTACAAGTATTGATCGTCGGTGTGCATTTTACAAACTCGTCCTGTGGTGAAACGACACTTGACCAGACAACTCGACTACGACTACAAGAGTGAATGAGTGAGAACGAGCGAGCCGCGAGCCACAGCCACAGAGTTTTTTTTCAGTAAAGTACCTAGTATTGGCAGACGAAATTTGTGCAGGTCTAAAAACGTTGCAACGCTGAAATACTCTCCAACAAAATGCACATGAAATTGACCTTAACATTTGAACAAGTAATGTATTTAAGTATGTAACTTATGTAGCTTAGAGTATTTCTTGTTGGCGATAGTAACTCTTCAATCACAAATTGGATGCATAGAAAAATTGTATGCGTATAAGAGCTTGTAAGGGAGAAAAAGTTGTTGATTGTGATGCACTATTTTTATGTACAAATTTAGCTGTTGCGGCCACTGAGCTATAATAATAACTGAAGTCGCTACTATTTGTTTTAAAAGTACCACAGTTTGCTGTTTTTTTTTCTTCAGAGTTTCGTGTTGTTAGGTTGGCCGTGTGATCGGTTGGTGGGACTTGGACTTGTCAAATTAGAGGTTTGGCTTCATCCTGTTGTTTTGTTGATGGTAAACAAAAATATGTCAACATTATGATTGCAATATAAGTTTATTTATTTACTTTACGAGCATCCCATTTTAACAAGATCATAAATACAACAGCGATGGTTCAATTTAAGTTAAGTAGTTATGCCTGTAGGGCATTGACAAAAATAATTACGCTAGGCGTAATAAACAAAAACCAGGAAAATTGACCATTTTTACCATTAATCATAGCTTGAAAATAAGTTAGTATTTAGTATAAAAAAAAATTGATAATGTTTCCAAATAACTTTAAATACACAGGCTTTAACGTTCAATAACGTAAATAAGTTGAAGTCCATCAAATAACGAGTAACCCCAAATAAATAGCATGGTTTAGCGTTAGAATCAATCATTTAATTTTAAAGCGTCCCACCAACCGATCACACGGCCAACCCAACAACACGGAAACACCGAAAACAAACCAGCAAAAACAGTGGCGCGTTTTTCTCTAATGTTCAACCAGAGAGAAGTGATATAGATTGAACATACGGAGTATGTAGTGACTGGTAGTAACTCATAACTCATTTATTGAACCAAAATAACAAATACAAAATTTGCATTGGTCATGTCAGTTAATAGCTTAGAACTAAAATTAAAAATAAACAATAAACAATGGTGCTTCATTCATAAAACTACAGTATACCAATTATATAATTCTTAAAAAAAAACTAACTAACTAAACCCATTAGCAACACAATCTCGAACACTGTAGTAACCCTTGGCCAAGAGTATTTTTTTTATTTGCTTTTTAAAGCTGTTCAAGTCCGTCTCCAGCTGAAGGGAGGTATAGGGAGGAGATTAAAAAGTTTAATGTCATTGTAATGGAAGTGTCTCTTGAAAAATGTAGTTGAATGGGATGGCAATTTAAAACAATTCTACAATTTAATACAATAAGAACCGGAGTAGTGACTCCAGTTCTTATAATCTATTTACAGTATCTCAATGGTTGCAGCCTAATGCACGACAGGGAAACGGGAATAAAATCACCCTTTTGCATATTTTTTAGAACCGTTCCCGAGTGATACTTTCATTAAAGTAACGGCAGTAACGTTTTCGTTAAAATACTAGGAAATCGTATATATTAAATTTCATCGTCACGTTATACTGAAGAAAGTATAATAATAATGTAATATTCATATTATGAAACCCCTTACAAGAACTACTCAATGCTATGGCTCTAAGTATATTCCCTGTGGTGTAGGAATGAAATTACGACTTGGCTAAAGCAAAGTTTGCTCGCAGCCCAGGAGCTGGTAGCTGAAGAGGCACATCCACCTTTAACTCCAGGCCCCGGCCTCCGAAGTGGCAACATCGCAAGTAGTATAACAGCTGTTTTGTTTGGAGGCAGCTATAATGGTATTTGTGTATTTTTAATAACACGAAAGCTTGGATACTGGGCTATGAAATTATTGACTCCACTTTAAATGTACAAAAATAGATTTTCAATTTAAATATTGTTTTACTTTTAAATTCTATGTTTCATTTTCAATCTTTTATTAAATTTATGTTCATAAATTTAAATTTCAACGAATAATACGAGAATTAATGAGCTGGTGTGGCCTGTCTGCCATGTTATCTCATTGGACGTCTGGCACTAAGAAACACTACTTGCAACGTCGCCAATTCTACCAGGTAGCGGCCTGGAGTTGATTGTGGCCTTGGAAGAGTACAGCAGTAGTCCTAAAACAAAACGGCCACAGAAGGTTTTCAGTCCACTGGAATGGAATTCACGACAACGTCAACATCACTGGCAGCCCCCCCCCCCCAAATTACATAGGTTGTCAGACGAGATCTGAAGGAATGTTTAGTGTAAAAGTATCATTTTGATTTTACTTTCAAGATAATTTTAGCTTAGATGTAGTAGTTAAGCAGTTATTATATTTTAGAGAATGTATGGGGGCTGAAAAGTATTTTGGGTGTAGGAAACCCACGTCTCTCAAGCAAGGCCACCAGAACACATATCCAGGCCTCGGCCTTGTAGAATTGGCCACGCCACAAGTAGTGCTGTTTGCTGTTTAGCGCCAGACAACCCATATAAGCTAACAGGGTAGGTAATTTATTCTTATTTAGTTTTTAACATCATATCATATTTTTTTAAATACAATTTAAGGCTATAATAGTTGCACATACATAGTTAATTGACGGAATAATTTCAGCTGTGTAGTTGGCAATAATTTTCCCTTTCTTAGCGCGCGGACGCCGCTGAATTCTGTGTACTCAAAAGTGCGGTATTCAGTAAAATGTCAAAATAGTGATTATGATTAAAAGGTTTGAACAAAAAACTCGTTTAAGATGATATCTTAAGAAATCTATACTCAAAGCAACATAATCCGAGCTCCAGCAGTTGGCCGTCTAAGAGGTAATTAGAGTTATAAAGATAGAACATGGATAGGCCTAGTTGGCTTGGTAATGTTGCAAACATTAATTTCCTTTTAACATTTAACTTTATGCTGTACCCTTGAAACTATTTGAAACGGATTTGATGAAACCCCAAGCTTGGTTAAAATATCTTATAGCAGCCGCTTGAAGTACTTTGGTTACTTATTTTTACAGATCTGCACTTTATTTCCATCTGACCCTAACAGCCTAATTTCTACAAGGCCTACCTAACATAAAAACAAAAGGACAAGGGAATTGCAAAAAATACATTATCTGTATTGGAACAGATTTACTCCTCTCACTAATATAGGCCTTACTTAGGCCTACTAGTCTAATTTATTAGTTAGTTAAGAGTTGATTGTTTGTATTAATTTTATCAGGTAGGCTAGACTATTATTTTATATGTGGGCCTAATTCAATTTTAGTTAATATAGCTCATTGTTAGTCATGGTATATTAGCCTATGAATAAGATAATAGGTGTTATATGGTAGGTAAGACCTAGACCTGGGTCTGATTTACTTTTTACTCTTTTTATGTCCCTAATGAAAAACACCATAGTTCTATGGTTTATGTATATGTTGTATAAGTATCCATTAGCTCGAAAAAGGGAGTGAAAATCATCTGATTCGGATAAAATTTGGCACAACGTGTAAAACTACATTCATATGTTTTATATATGTTTTCCCCATTCTTAACCTCCAGAACCTAAACTTTTGCAATTAATTTCTGAACCATTTTGTAGACCTTAAAAAACAAATAATTTTGTATATTGAAGCGTTGATTTACGCTAAATGGTTACTTAGAAAAGGTAAAAAAAACTTTAATTTCAATGTTATTCTTTCTTATTACTTGTTTGGTTAGACCGCAACAACAGAGACTATATGTGTAAATATTTTGTTACTATTATCAGACGTTAGTGGTAGTGATGATACAAGGAGACCCCTTAATGATGCCGCACATGCTGGTGAAATGTACATAGAGTGAAAGACTACTACATCAGGATCACAAGGAAAATGGCAGACTTAAAGTTGACAAGTAGGCCTACTAAGATAGATTATTCACGAAGATTATTGTGGGCTTCACTCACCTTTATTTTTGTCTGTGATGTCCAGGACTCGTCAAAACACACATAAACACACACATATACATATATATATACAACACAAAATCGTCCACAGCATCAAAAGATGTTTTGCAGAACTAAAAAAAAATGCTTCCTCAGGGTGGAAAAATACTATTTTTATCCCGCACGCGGGTCGAACGCCTAACCATGACTTAAGATAGATTAAAAATACTATCTTAGAGAATTGTTTATTCTTATGTATCAGCTAACGACAATTTTAAGCCCAGTTTCTGAATGGTATATTCAAATTGTGTTTTGATGTTTACTATTTTATTTCCCTTTATTCCATAGGAACTAAAACTATTTAACCAAATATAAAACAATTAACAAATTGTTACTTGACTTCTTTTATTATAGTCAAATAGTAAAGTGTGCAATGCAAGATTTACCTTGAAATAGGAGAAAAAACATTCTGTTGATATTAACACATTCAAAGGTAATTGGACATGACACTCTAAACAAAACAAGCTTCAGATTTTAAAGTAACGTGGGAAGTTTATTCGCTGTATCTAGTCATTTTTTTGTATCGCCTTAGATGGAAGTATCCAAGTATCCTAGATAGAAAGCCAGTTGAGTTGATGCACATCCACTGTCCAATGAGCTTGCTGTCCCCAGTAGTGTGTTGGGCTGGCACTATACTGGCTACACAGGCTGTAACGATACTTCACTGCCTCTAGATCAAGTAAACAGACCGATAGCCTGTGCTATGTTTTGTGAAGGGCAGTTGAGGCTTAAAAAATGAAAGTTCAAATGTCTAGCAAAGTTAAAGGGGCTAGTGGCATTAAAATTTATGTAAAAGAAAAGAGTTCTTTAACCGTTCTTCCTTAAGCAGACATTTTCTACTTTTTAGAAATCTCTCTGTTTTTACCAAAATCAACAGCTTCTGTCAATTGATGGACGGGAACAGAACATTAAACCGAAACTGTCAGCTTATGTGTTGGATGAAAAAAAAATATTTCATGCTTTTTCAATCCAAGATCCATAATAATAGTTTTAAATTGAA